TGAGCGGGAATTTGAAATATTGGAAAAAAGCAAAGTAAACTCACCAATGACAAGCATGCCTTTTGATATCTCTTGAAAGACAATATATGTTAAAATTCACTTATAAGATGAAAATAATTTTTAAACTGCAAGATAAATGGCTCCCAGTAAAACTTATTGAGCAATGGTCTTAGAATTCTGGAAGATTCTTTTCGCTGACTCTTTCAGCAAAAATTTTGATCAGAATCCCAATATTTTCGAAAAAACTGCTCATCAAAAAGAAAAATATATAGTGAAATCAAGCATATCTCAATTTGTTGTCCGTAACGGCACCTGAATTTCATAGAAATTTCACTTTCTTACTGATTGCGCATCTCGAAAATTAATTCAATATCAAAAGTGCATAATCTAGATGAACGAGAATGAAGTACAAATTACTATCGGGTTCTTTATATCGTGCACAAACAAACAACAACACTACTCAGCACTGAGAAAATTTGTTTCGCCTGAAAACAAGAGCATAGAAAAATTGAAGTAAAAACAGGAAGGATGCAACAAAAAACATAACAAGTGCGTAAAACACAATCAACCAAGATTTTCGTTTGCTTGTTGTACGTGTAGACACATACATAATTTTACAAATTCGGAAAAAGCGACTGATTTAGTCTTGCCTTTGTTGCACGAGGCGTTGAATTTTTTCTCCAACCAGAACGAGCAGAACCCCTCGAAGAACTAGACCTAAAATATTATTTCATGAGTTGTTTATTAAACATGCACAACAGTATAATGCTGTTTTACACGACATGAATTTACTTACGTTTGTGAAGTAGTTACCCTTCTTTTGCGAACTCTACCACGCATATTTGTAAAGCGTCCACGATTTGATGGGCTTCCAAAATAGGGTACATATTTACCGCGACCAAAAACTACTTGCGATCCAGCTGCTAAACGAAATAATGAATTATCCATAATTTGGTGTATTTTAAAGGTCTTGGAAAATATAAACAACATCCCAACCTATAGAAGAAGCAACTGCACCATCTATTTGTATATCCCTAAAACCACCAACAATATCTTTGTTTGTGTTCATATGATTCAACTGCTGATTGATTTCTTTCTCTTCGCGCACTAAAATCCATCTGAACAATTTAAAGAAAATACCATTCCAGCAAAAAACTATTATTTTTCCATATTATTAAAATCTAATAGAAGTTTCGCTACTTAAATTTACCATCTAGTTCATTCCAGTATTCTTTCAACATGCACATAATCTTAGCTCCATAGCGTTCAGCTTTTCGTGCGGTCATACCATCAATTTGCAACAGATCAGAATATGTCCGCGGCATTAGTGCTGCTATTTGTTCAATACCTTCTGAGTTAATAATAGGCTGAAATATCTTTTGACTCCCTAAAGCAAAGCTCCCGTTTAAAAAAGTCAATCTTTATTCCTCACGCATTGTTATACTCTTGTAAAACATACCAAATGATTTTTATGACCTTCAGAAGTTGCGATATCAGAAAACAAACGTAAGAGATCTCGTTTGCACTGACTAAATAAATCTGCATGCTTCACCATATATCTGAAATTATCAATTTTTTACCAAAAAACTGAAAACAGTTAATTATCAACGAGAGCAGAATAACTACCAACTTTTCTTTTAGAGCCTGTACTTCACTAACACTATTCGTTGACAATAAAGCTGCTATTTCCATTTTACCAGAGCGACGACGGTCGTCTGGTTGATTTGCTATGTGTAAATAAACCTAGAAATTGGTAATATAATACATATACTAACTAACTTTTCAGCATACCGCTACTCTATTCTATTTTCATTTTTTCCAGCGCATACTTGGTCACTATCTACGGAAAGTTTTTAAAGAATACTAAGATGACATGAATAGGACATCAAAGTTGAAGTTAACACGAACAACCATATTTTTTACCTTCATTCTGTTGCTCCCACAGGCCAATTCTCGACCTAAATCGGTCAGTTCTGCATAAGCGACAGTGGTATCAAATTTCGTATTGTAAAGTTGCTCCTTTATAATACCATCGATTACTAATTTTCTTACAAATCTTAGGGCATCTGTTTCTGGCATTCCTAATCCTCGACCAAACATTGAAAACTTTGTATGACCTAACCGTAATGCCTATAAATAATCAACTACTAAAACAGTAAATGTTATGAAGACTGGTTTTAGAATTTGAAATTGATTTTTCTGCAAGTCCGGATAGAGAAACTTACCATATCAGCAAACTTTTTCTGCCCCATATGACCACGATACAAATCTGCGAGGTATTTTAAAGTTACATTATGCATATGTAACATACTCTGTGCAACAAGTTTCGCTTCTTCCGTGACATCATAAACTTTGTATGCATCCTGAATAAAATAAATAACTTATAAATCAGACATATTTATATTTTTCGAGTAAAACATCTGAAAAACACCTTGTTTTTAATTTGCTGAAAGCAAACATCGCACGGGGATTTACTTGTTCGACATGCTTCAGCATCGTAAACCTAAAAAAATTTCTGCGACTTTCATTTCATAAAAAATGTTTATGTTTTCGGAATTCAAGAAATCAAAAAGCTAAATGTTTCAAAAGTACCTCTCCGAAATGTTCAACTAGTATCTTGCGCCGACAGATGGAAACATTTTCACAATATGCCACTATCTCAAGTAAGCTATTTAGATGCATTGTTCGTACTCCTTGTGTATTATTCTCACCTAAATTTTCATTTGTTTTTAAATCAAAGAAGCTAAAAACAATGCAAGACTTGATCAATAAGGCAGAAAATACGTTTCTATAATATTTGCATGTATGCAATGACAGTAATGTTAGCAAACCTTCAATCAATTTTCTAATCCTTACAGAATCATTATAACTATAAAGTATTGCGCAGTATGAATTTAAGCCATCACGTCCAGCTCGTCCCGTTTCTTGATAATATCCTTCGATTGATTTCGGCATGCTATCAAGAAAAAGTGAATTTATAGAGGAAACATTTTGTAAACAAGTAACTTATAATACAATCTTTCGATGAAAAATAACCTGAAATGGATGACAAAACGCACATCTGGTTTGTCGATTCCCATGCCAAACGCTAAATTATTTATAACTTGGCATTACAATATACTTTTTCTAAAAGAAACAACAATGTTGGACTTTCTTTGAAACTTAAATTTGCTATTTACGAACTATTTAAAAATATTAATGGAAACATTTTAGCTTCCAAAATTCAGAGAGCAGCTCATCAACATACCAATAGTTGCACAAATAACATTGACTTGACCATTAAACCACTTTGTCTGCACATCGAGCCGCTTCTTATCACTGAGTCCTGCATGATAAACCTCCACAGAGATACCTTGGTTTTCGAGCATCTTTGAAACTGATTCGCAATCTTTTCTGGAAAGTCAATTTATTTCAAAACAACTACAAAGAATATGCATTTGGAAAAAGCGCTATGAAAACAGTTTTGAATAGTATTTTAAAAAATGATTATGGAACAATTACCTTGATAAACAATAGACAATTCCTGATTTGCTTGGGTACAAAATTTTCATGCGATCCATTACTTTAATTAATGATCGTGGTCCCTTTGCGATGACATCATATTTCAAGTTTGTTCTTACGAAACTACTTATAAATCTCAAACATTTAATAAGAATTAGATTGAATGTAAAGTATATGAAATCTGTAATAATAAGCAAAAATGAAATTCATAGCAATCACTACAATGTACTAGCGAGCATTCTTTTTTAATAATACTAATTTCAACAAAATTCAATGGTTCTACTTACAGTTTGCTTGCTTGAATCGCCAAATGAACTCTTGTGTCGGTTACAATTTTTGGGGTAGCAGTGGCAGTAAGAGCCATAATTGGTATCAATGGATTCGTAAACATTTTTCTGCAATAAAAGCTTCCTTTTTGTGGAAGTAGAAGTCACTGAATATAGCTTTCAAGAATAAAGATGTGTAAACTTTTGATTTGTACAACCTCAGAGATTGCAATTTCGTGTAATCAGGCCTGAAGTCATGACCCCATTGTGACACACAATGAGCTTCGTCGACAACAAATCGAGTGAGAAAACCTCGTTGATGTAAAGATATGAATACATTAATCAGCTTCTCAGAGCCAGCTATCTGACAATTAAAAATATTTTGTTTTGTATTTCTAAACTAGTCCAATACTAATTAGCTTTAGGCATTAGGAAATGTCTCAAATAATGCAAAACAAAAAGCGAAAAAAAACGCACTTTTTCTGGTGTTACGTAAAGTAATTTTATTTTCGGATTAGTTTCACACAGCATGGCGTAAATTCGATCTGATTCACCTTGACTTAATTCAGATGTTAACGCGTAACAAGAAATCTGTAATCCTTAGGTGAAACAAGAATAAAACTCGCAATGATTGCAAGAGCTGAATTTCGATATGCATTTTCAATGTCTAGCAAAGACAAAATTAATTATTAATATTTAAATGTTTCGAAAACCGACCTCCAGTTCTCTCATTTTCATTTTCTGATCTTCTATGAGGGACTTCAGTGGAGAAATCACAACTGTTACACCCTGTGACAAAACAGCTGGAAGCTGATAGCAAAGACTTTTTCCTGCTCCTGAAATATACGACGAAACAATAAAACTGAGAAGCTCATAACATAACATGGAAGAATGTAATATGACCTACTATAAAAAAATAGATTATAAAGAGACCTGTAGGCATTAAAATGAAACAATCGTAGCTCAACAAAGCTGCAACAATGGCTTGTTTTTGATGATGCCGAAAACTGTTGAAGCCAAATTTGCTTTTTAAAATGCTATACATTTGATCGCACAGTTCTTCTCCCAACAACTTTTCTGAAAATCAAATAATTAAATGAATAACAAATTTTAAATATAAACGAAATAAATATCCAAAACTTGGAAGAAGCACTCAAAGTTTTCTTGCAAAAAAGTATGTACAATTGTTACAAATCGAAAATTTTACTTTCATCTTCAAACTGATCTCCATCATCTTGTAAAAATGCTCTAAACTGACCATGCATATCTGAAAAAAATATGAAAGCAGTTGTTTGTACGGAGATACACATGATTAAAAAGTAGGAAATAATATAAAAATATGGAGGTAATAAGTTTCTATCACTGAACAAGCAGAATAAACTCACCATGTCTCTGTTTTTGCGAATTATTCGACAGAAGTTGTACATCGCTTAATTCACGTGTTGTCAAAGTAGAAGAACATATTTCTTCATTAGCTTCTACCTGAAACTAACAGAAATCAGTAAAACTTGAAATTATTAATGTGATTTTAATTTTATGCAAACCTCCATGCCATCGTCAAAAATCTCAGGATTACGTAGTGGGTCAATCTGCTTGGTTATAGATTTTGGAGATGCAAAGTCTAACGAAAATCTGAAAAAACCTTCAAGTAAGTTCATTCATAAAATTATTTAGTTTTTTCTCAGAAAATCATCATTAAAAAAAGTATCAGCTAAATATTGTTTTCTAGTAAAAGATAAATAGTACGTTAAAGCATCGATTGAATTTTTCTGCTCCATGCTAGTGCTTTCATCAGGAAACCTTTCGTTATTGATAATCTGAAAATAAAATCACCACTTTCTCAAACAAACCATACTTTTTATGATGCAAAAGATGATAAGTTTTGCTGATTATATTTTAAAAAAATAGAGATTTAAATATCTTGTGAAAGAAAGAAGTTCCAAAAGACAAATTAACTGCGTATTATTAAATTATCCCTTGTGATGCACAATACTGTTAATCATGAATCATGTTCTTGTAGGTGTGTAAGAACTAAGTTATTAACATCCTAAAACTTAAGCTAGGGCTCTAAGATAATTTAGAGAGAAATTTTAATTTAGTTACTTCTTCTGGTTCCATATCTGTATCAAAAATGTCACTTGGAGAATCATGAAATTCAAGTTCTTCGCCCGAATCAAGACTGTTAAAGTTATCATTACGTGAATGATTTGAAATAGCTAGTGCGCTCTTTTCTTGATCAGCATAAGCCCAATCCTAAACAACAAAGTAAAAAAAAGCATAAAACGAGATCTGATGAACTGATGATGTAAAATGGGGACAGCACAATAGAACCAAAAGAGTTTATAATTCGCAGAATAATGAGTCTTGACTGCAACCTTGGTTTTGGATGTTGTGGGTAAAGTGACATGAGTAACATTCTCTGCTACATCTGCTAGCCTTAATAACTCATCATCATCAAATTCGTCAGAAATATTAGACGAAATTTTTGTTTTCTTATTTCCTTGCGGTACTTCTTTAATTACAGATTGTATCACCGATGATTTGCATTCAGATGTTCTAAATTGCTGAAATACAAAGTATTCACCATTAGCTTATACATCATGTGAAAATAAGATTTGAGAAACTTTTCCAAAAATTTATTGATCAATATTTTAATTTGTAAATTACACATACCGTTAAGTCAGGAATCACAAAGACTTCAGAGGGCTGCACAAACTGATATTTACCAAACTGTACACGCTCACGACATTTAACTGCTTCATATCTTAACTTGAAACTTGATTCTGTTAACATAGTTCTGAAACTATAAACAGTAAATGGACATTTTTTTAATAAATATAAAAAACAGATAAAACAAGAATCTTTTCGCGCCGAAAATGTCTTCAAATTAGCACTACCATTAGGTGCGGTATGAAAAAGGAACAATCAATCTCTTAGATGAAAAGATAAATCCAAGACATAAAATTGCATTCTGCTTATTAGCATACTCATATCTCATAAATGCTAGTACAACATAATTCTCCTTAATTTTACTTCAATCTTAGCTTTTACAAGTGTCTTTTTCACAAAAAAACGACTTAATTTCACAGTATACTACAACTTTCACCGATTATCCATACTGTTACTGTCCTTAAATACATTGTAATACTCTCTTGTATGCAATCATATCTTAATATACGCTTGAAATAATGAACGACCTACCGAATTCGAGACTTCTTCTACACTTGAACGTATTTTAAAACGTAGTTGTGATGCTAAAGAGAGATTGATTACTCTTCAGGAAATTTCGAACTTTTTGATTTCGCAATAAGTCTCTTTGTGCGAACACAAATACAGTATGCTACGAGGGATAGACTGCTATGTGTCATCAGGAAGTATACGATTTTAGCAGGTGCTATCGTGGAGTCCTGTAACGCTAGTTTGGAGTTTTGACGCAAAATGTGCTAGGATAATGACTTTAAGCAGGTACACAGCAGTAAAATTGAAGTGATGGTAGAGGGAAATTTACATACGATTATTGTTGTTTATGGTATGTTAATTAACGGATGGAACAGTAATAATATTTGTACTGTACTGCTGTGGCTACTGTAAAGCCACATGCTACTTTTCTGTTTAAATAAATTATTTGTCCGTTCAATGTAATCGGATGTCATTGTAATTTTCCAATGTTTCCAAAATGAACTTTATTGTTAGATCTTTATGAGGTCTGCAAAAAAAACTTTTCGACTCAGTGCAGCAATTATTATTAATAATAATATTATTATCAATAATAATAGCAGTTAATAATAATAATAATAATAAATTAAAATAAAATAAAATAAAAATAA